AATATACATGTAGTCTTTTGTAAAATAATATATATGCCTGGGCCTCATCTCCAGATATAATTTCAAAGGGTTAGAGTTGAGCACTGGCATTTGATTTTTTTAAATGACATCAACAATTTTTCTGATGCACAGCCAGGATTAGAGATCAATATTCTAGGTGAAGTTTTCAATGCTTGGAATGATGTCTTATGCATCTGTGCTGCCCTGGGCTGCTCTAATGGAAACTATGGACTTTGGATAAGCATATATCAATGCAGATTCATCAATTGTAACAAATACCACTGGTGTAGGATGCAGAGAGTGGGGGATGTTGTTCATGTGTGGGAGCAGGGGGTAAATGGGAAGGCTGTATTTTTTGCTTAATATTTCTATGACTCTAAAGCTGTTCTAAAATATAGTTCATTTTTTAAAAATTGAGTGGTAGGCACCTGGGGTTCTCAAAGGAGAGGACATAGTCTTTGAACATTTTAATGTTTAAAGTGCATTTTCACTGGTCTGTCACTTTGCCATGACAGTTTGATGAATAAAGAAACCATGTAATACTAATGCAATTAAATTATTTAATCTTTAGATAATAATGAAAACTATCATATTCTCAGAAAAAGTTGTTTCAGGGGAGAACAGGAAATAAAAGTTAAGATCAATAATAATGATACTGCAACTATGTCAGAGAAAATGTATATAAATCTATAGTATTCCTTTAGCTCTGTCTTCAAACATGTTATAAATCCTCCAAAGTCCTTGCTTTGTATTATAGCCTTTTAATATATTCACTGTCTCTTTCCAAGTTAAGTTCACTCTTGCTACCCCATTCATCTGTCTTGTGATTTATTTCAAAGATAAACTGAATATCTTCCCCTTTTTTCTATAACTATTTAATCTTGATTTTTTAATCAAAATTTGATGGCAATTATCTATTAAAATGCATTCTTTCCCCATCCTATATATTTTTCCTTTTTACAGTAAATCCTACATTCTGACACCATAGTTAACAACTTCTTGTCAGTAATTATTTTTAGACAGATTTCCTTTTCTGAATATTGGTTTCTTAATAGTCTCTTAATAATCAAAAATCTCTTAATAAACTTCATAAGCAATAGTCTCTTAATAATCTAGCTTTTTTAGAGCTAGAAAAGATTCAGTAAAGTGTTGGATTTGTCAACCTTATTTCTCTTTTTTTTTTTTTCACTTTCCTCTGTTCCTGTTGGTGACATAGAATTTACATGTAAATAAAAGCATAACCCCGCTATGTGAATGGAATGCCAGCCACGTGTGGTGTACTGCCAAGACACTCATCTGTTACTGAAAAGCGAGAGAGAAGTCATATTTAGAACATAAGGCATTTACACGAGGGCTCCCCAGGTGGCAGTAGTAGGAAGAAACCTCCTGCCAAGGCAGGAGACACGGGTTCAGGGAAGATCCCCTGGAGGAGGAAATGGCAGCCCACTCCAGTATGCTCGCCTGGAGAATCCCATGGTCAGAGGAGCTGGGCAGGCTACAGTCCATGGGGTCACGCAGAGTGGATACCACTGAAAGGACTTAGCACAAGAAGCTCAGTAGATAGTTAAACAATAAGAAACTATGACAGGAAAACTGTGACAAATATATAAGTGAACAGTCTTGCCTCTGTGATCTTTCACTTCACCACCAATAAAATGAAACACAAAATATTTACCTCCAGAATCACTGTGATGATTAAGTTGGAAAGTGTAAGTGAAAACTCAGTATTTAGTCATAAAATACCATATAACAATCAAATACCAAAATAATAATTTTACCACTTCAGAATTATAAGAGAAAAAAATCACTTAGAAGAGGAAAACACTGGCTACATGTCTAAGGCTTGAATGAAAATGTGACCTATGTATGTTTACAAATCCTTTCATCTCAAATTCTTTATTATGCATGAGTGTCTTTTGTTATCACGATGCATAAAAATGGTAAAGCCTGTTGAAAACTGCAAAACAAAGAGAGGAGCCAAGGAAAAAACATGACTAATTTATTCAGATAGGATTCAAGTTTATCCCCAACTTATTTGCCTTTTATTCTTCATTTTAGTTAGTTACATTTTCACCGATTATCATCAAGGTTATGCATGCACCTTGAGATGGTCACAAAAGGTCCATGATACAGGGAGTCATACTTAGGTTGTATGTTATATTCAGAGTCCCAGGGGAACTAATAGATTCCAGAAATACTGATTAAGCAAGATGAATTTTTATACAGTTTCAACTACAACAGTTTTAAAGACAAGTGCAAGCTTCTTTGCCACAAAATTCACAAAAAAAGTAATCGATTGAAGAATATCTCTTTTATGCAAAATATACATTTTAGGGTATAATTCAATTAATATTCTACTATATACTGACATTAGTCTTGATAATTTAATAAAAAAATATTCTCATTGCCAGAATTTTATTTTTTAATATTTATAATTGAGGTAACAATGACAAAATACTTGAATCATGAATAATATTAATGAGTTTAAGTCAAATAACTTTTAAGAACTTAAAACAAATGTGGGACTCCAAATGGGTCAGTTTTGACAAATAGGCACTGAAAATTCTGCAACATAATATGACAAGCTAGTATAAGTGGCTTATTAAAAATAAATGATACAGTTAGTGTTCGTGGATCTAACCAACAAAACAGAAATGAAGGAAATTAAGACAGACCTATAGTACACCAATATCACTGCTTTTATGATCACAGCACAATCTACTGCAGGTCCACAAAGGGTAATTCACAGAGGTGCGGGCCTTACTTGAAGCTCCAGAGATGTTGATCGTGACTCTGGCTTCCTTCGATGTGAGATGGCCAAAGCTGTTGACCCATGCATACATGTTGGTATTTACAGCTGTTTCATGGACACCAGCCAGTCCTCAGCAGACCACTCATATGGGGAGCACCAAATGAGTTCCAGCCACAGTTCTTGCATAGGCTTTTTCATGCTTCATGAAGATGCCAGGATCTCTTCCAAGTGCAACCTGGTCACGTCAGGGCACATTCAGCAGCAGGAGTCTGTTTCCAGAATAGTCCTTGGTATGGCTAAATTCCACTGTCCCTTTTTCAGCAGTCAAAAATCCATGATAAATTCTGTACAACACTGCAGTCAATAACAGCAGCACCAGACAGTATATTAATTCCTTCACCATAAAGTTGTGTTTAATTATAACTTTCTATGTGTAGTGTTATCAAAAGCATCACTGAATCTTTAAATATCAGTTATGTCTGGGTAAATACATTGCTGTACAAGGTCTCTGACATGCAGGTCATGCTCTAGGACTTGGGGATATAAAGTAATACATGTTATGTGGCCAATTCTAAAAGTGACAATTGTCTCCCTAACCGGAAATAAACATGAGCATTAGGAATCAGCAGTCTCAAGGATCCTAAATGCCTTAGAAATATTGTTTATCTCTCAGTTTATAGTATGGTATTTTCTTCCCTCTCATGTCCAATACATCAGACACACTACTGCTATTGCATTTGTAGGGATGTGCAAACAGAATGTCTCCCACTTGCACTGAATAAGACACCCTGAGGGTTTCACTGGCGTGTCCTGATGAATTCTGGTTGCTAGGGAGTAGAAACTGACACTGCAGCAGGCAATCAAATGCAAGGGTAAAACTGCTGCTTAAATCCTGCTTATCAGACAGGTTCACAGCACCGGTTAACTTAGGTAGTCTACGGGCATTACTAATTCACACACAAAGCACAGAGGCTGTTCCAAGTAGTGAAGAAGGCAAGGGGCAGGGAAGAGGACCCAGTCCTAAAATCATGAACACCTCATCAAGGCATTTCTGTGCTTCATGGAGACAGATGGCATATACACATAAGACAGGGAGCTAAGACATATGGACAGAACGACATACAGGACAAAGCACCTGATTAAACACTGCCTGAAAATCTGGTTAATTCTGTCAGTCAGAGATTTAAGGCTTGTCAAGAAAGCTTCCTGTGAACAACAATGCTCTTTGTTGTTTGCAAAAAATAAATAATAATAATAATAAATTAAATAAAGGAAGGGGGTAAAAAAGACAAGAATTTTGAGTGATACTTTGGCACCCTGACTCTGAAAATGATGACAAATTCTGGGATTAAAAGAAAGAAAACATGATTCTAGTTCCAAATAGCAATTCCTATCTAAACGATGCAAGCCTGGCTGGCAGTTACCTTTCTCTCATGTTTTGTGCCTTCCCCAAGCCATTAAGTAAGAGATCTGGCCTCAGCTTGCGTGTAACCAGTAATGACAATCTCTTTGCAGTTATCTGTGTGCAAACAACCAGAGACATTCAGAACTCCAATACAGCATTTTGGAAGAAAAGTAAAACAATCAAGAAATTAAACTATTTAAAACAAATATTTTTTTTCAAAGAATAAAAAAAAAAAATTGCCAAGGAGAAATTCACCCTCCCTGCCCCACAATTCAACATGCAGAACAGTCAACCAGTGGTTTCACATCAGCAGAATGGTTCGATGCAAGTACACATATCCCGAGCCATCTGCGGTCCCCGAACACTGCGACATTGCTTTCAGGTGATAGAGACAAGATGGTCCATGCAAATGAGCTGACCAAAGTCATGTTGTGTGCATTCAAAACAGAATCCCAGACATCTTCAGAATGGTTCAGAGTCACAAGGAATGAAGTTCCCATGAAGTAGCTGGCATTTGGAAGCACAATGATTTAAATTACCTCCCTGAAGATGTGTTTATGTATTAGGGTACTCGCCAATATCTGATGCTATCTGTCATTTTATTGCGAAAGGAGATCAGGGCAATTCATACGGAGAAGTGGTAGCACTACTAGGATAAGATTCGTTTAAAGCCAGGATAAGATTCGTCAGCTACCCAAACGGCATTTTTGACTTCAGATAGTAGTATCATGCAGGATTTATACTGTATTAATGGCGTCTGGAGTAACTCTACATTTAATTATTTCCATTATGGGGTAAACAGTACTTGAATTAAGACAATTTAGCCAACTGATGCAGTTTGGTTTACAAGATAGATGGGATGGGAGATCGAGAGCGCCTCAGAGGACAAGGAGAGTTGTAAGGTGAAGTTACTGGAGAGAGCCTCAGAGCATTGCCTGCCAAGCCCGCTATGTTGTTTAAGCTTCGGGATTTCTCATATCCTTTTATGGAAAAATGCACAGACATCAGTTGAATTCAACCAGAAAATAGACACAGACAAACAATATCATGCAGGGTAATCAAAGTGCTATTTTTGAGCTCAAAGAATTTGTTTACAAAGAATTCAACATTGAGACAATTTACAACTCTAAAAAAAAAAAAAATGAAGCTTGCTGTAGCTGTCATTTCCAAAAGATTAAGCCAAATATCACAAATTACTATTGTAATACTTCAAAAATCTATTCTTTTCCAAATTATAGTTTGTATTGATGAAATTGTGGCATATTCAATATCAGAAAACTTATAAGAATTATGCAAAGCAACTTAAATAAGATATAAATTTGGCTAATATTTTTAAATTTCAGAATATGTTCCTGAAAAAAAATGAGCTATTTTTTCTCTTTTTATTCTTATTTTAGTGTTTACTAAGTTAATAAAGCATGCTTAAGTTTAAGTGCACCACTCTTTCCCAGAATATTTAATCTTCCAGCTTTATGGGGTTAAAAGGATGATTCCTCAATAATGACTTTTAATGCCATTATCTAGGTAATGTAGAATGAATGCCCATTCCTAATCCCTTGTATTTAAAAAATAAATAAATAAATAATATAAACTGAGTCATCATTTCAGTAAATTTAAATCTGATTTTGATTATGTATTTTCAGCTGATTCTTCCCTGCCAGGAATGAAGAATAATTTGATATTTTCCACCTTTTCTTCCTATTATCTTGTGTTCTAATCTTCTGTTCATGATAATCATTGACTGACAGAATCCTTCCCACTTACATGTCTTTCCCACAAACTTTAACCCACTGATTTGCCTTAGCTGCTCAAGCCACACCCCATCAAGGACACTATTGGAAGGAGTATATATTGTGGTATTTTTTATTAGAAAACACTAGCAGCAGGTAAATGAGGTAGTGCGTACCTACTATAAAAGTAGAAGTAAAATTGTATTAAAAATCAGGCAATCATTAACTGAAAAAATAGTCATATTATACAATCCATCAAATAAATGTTCTGGCAGCTCCACTGAAAAAGTGGTATAGATCTGGAAAATGAAACAGCTCTACTGCAGGGTAAGGTTTGACTAGTAGGAACCCCCTCTCTACATATACACCCACAAACTTTCAGCAGATTAGATGTTTTCTTTGATATTTTGTAGATGAAAATTTATGTCATCCACTGATTACAGTACAGTTCTCTAGGACATAATTTCTGCTAATGAGAAAATTATCTACCTATATGTTTTATTAGTATTTTGAGCTATAAAGCATGTGAGGTGGCATATATTTCATTCTGCTCTGGTGGGTGATGGAATAGTTAATGAAAGAATGTCTTAAATAATTAAAAAGGAATTGCAAGTCATTCATTCTTACATAGGGACCTTCACATTCCTAGAGGGCTAATTATCATTATTCTTCTGTAATGTGATTGGAAATAAAACTGGGACTTGTAGAAAGAATAATTTATCCAAGTTGACTTGGATTTTTAGTGTAACCTAAAAATGTAAACTAGACTATAAACATTGATTGGTTTTGATTAAAAGCAACCTCATGAATATACATGAATCAAAGAAGTTGTTAATAACTATAGACCATCCTTGTAAAAATATACATCTTGTTCCCCACAATAACTGTGTTCCCTATGAGACTTCCAAAAAAGGTAAAAATCTGTTTAACAATTTATATTAATCATGTTATTTACATGTAAATCTTGGTTGCCCTTGTAAATGTTTAGTTACTTTTCTGAATTATAGTCATTAAGATAAATATTATTTATTCTGTTTATAAGTCATTTTATTTTTAATAACTATGATTTCAGTGTCTATTTGAGAAGGGTTCCCTTATAATTTAGTAACAAGTATTTAATTAGTAAAATTATGTTTTTCATATAAATTTATTCTTCCTTTATTCTGCAGGTTCATTTATGATTAGAAAATTTGACAAAATTTTGCCTCATCAAGCTTTTATTGAAGGGAATGACTGAAAACATAATTTATGAGAATAAACAATATTGAACTCAATTTGAACTAATATTTAAATACATGATATACATTTTACACAGCTTTTAAGAGCACATATTTGTTTAGGGCAATATTGAAACTGCCTATTTGTGCATTATCAATGAGTATGTTTGTGTTCATGTAAAATGATATATAAATAAAAATACTGTATAAATAAAATCATAGGTTCTAAGTTTTGGGAGTTCATTCTTTTAGGTAATCCACATGTTTTCTTAATGTATGCCCAACTGCATTTACACTTGTTGATAGAAAAAGAATACAAAGGGAATCCAGTCATTTTTCTCATTTATATAGGGGAGAATTTATATAACCCAAAAATCAGGTCAGTGTAGAAAACAATTAGAAACATACAGAAGATAAATATGTCAGTGGGAATAACAGGAGATATCTCTAATCTATATAAAGGAAACAGGAGAAGAAATAAATGGATTTCTAATAGACATGACAAAATAAACACTGAGAAGATTAAGTGAAAATAGCCAGAAATGTTACCAGATCTAGGGAAAAAAAAACACAGATCTACAAAATAACTAAGCAAGAATGAAAAAGAATTTGTTTACAGTGAGAAATAATTAAAAATAAAAAGCTCATAGTTGGGTTTTCAAAGATGCTCTCATTGATAGAATTTGTGAAATAAGATCACACGTATAATTTTCTCATATAAACACAATATCTTATTAATTGCTTTGCTATGGAAATTTGCCATTTTACAGGAAAACTGTATTTATATAGGTGCTTTATAGTTTGCAAAGTCTTTTAAAATATGTGACCCCTTTTGACAGTTTAAAATTCAAAATATTATCTAACATGGAAGAAAAACATTCTAGCTAGAGTCTTAACATGTAACCCTAGTATAAATATTGCATGTGATATTTTATTAAATGATGCTTAAAATATATCCAAACATAATCACACAATACATAAAAATACATATATACACATATGGATATATGTATATACATATATAGTAATTTAAGATTACAAGGCAAGTACTATATTCTATATTAATAGTTATATACATATATTTTGCTTAAGTACTATGATAGAGTATTAACTATAAAAATATTTAAAAACTATTGTAACAATATAAAATAGTGAAATATCAGATAATTGAAACACTTTTTGGTACAAGAGATGCAAAGAGTGACAGTTCTTGGAATGAAGTATAATTTAAAATATTACACATTAAAAAAACAAGAGAGTCCTCTGTCTTCTCTTTAGTTACTCACAAGTATGGAGACAGAAAGAACAATATAAAGTGCTCAGAAGAAACAAAAAAGAAGCACAACATGGGTAATGAGTTATTTCAAAGGCAGTAGGCATTATAAATATTTTAGGCTTAAAATGGTAAGGTATTCTGTAGGGAGAAACTGCAATGAATAGCAAATAAGCACAATATTTTTAAAATGCAGTTGCATTAACATGAAAGTTTTAGAGTGGCTTTTCATTCAAATTCAGTCAATTGCCTAAGAAATGACTATTTCTTCATAAGAAATTTGTAGTTCTTTCTCCATTCTGTTGGTAAATAGAATAAAATAACCTTGGCACTAAAGCAACTGGAATTCTCAAAGTAGAAAGTATGCTAAGAGCATACCAGAACTTTGACAAGGGTGGGTTATAAGTGTCACGAAACTAATTTCTTGAGGATAAAAAGGGTCCAATTGTTTGGATGGTAAAGTTTACTAAAATGAAAATGAAAACTAGCGACTAAGGAATAGTCATAGATGGTTGACACAATCTAGGGAAATAAAACCACATGCTGAAGGGGAGCTTCAGTATCCTGCTATATTCCTTAACCAAGATGCCTATCTAATACAATGCATCCATTCAACAGATATTAAGGATCTTCTATGAGCCAGGAATTGTTCAGTGCCAATTAAAAATAATAATAAACTTAAAATGATCATTGCCCGGAAGAGAAATTTTGTAAGTACATTTTGTAAGTACAGTAAGTAACCTTTCCACTGATTAGGTATACTGTTCTGTATGGCTGGAGGATCATGTACCTTAGCAAACTCCTGACGTTCAGATTAATTACTGGGGAAAATTTGCCCAAACACTGGATAAGAGACCATTAGAGTATGTTTAATGTTTTACTTTGGAAAAAAAGTTTTATTACTGTTTTATAATTATCAACCACTTATCAAACAGATGCATAGAGTCAATTAGTGACTTTAATTCATTGTAGGAAAAAAGATAACTTTTCAAGACTGCTGAATATATTAAAATAAATCTATGGTTGACTTAATTATTTAATACTTCATTACAATTCTGCCTATAGACAAATGAAAAACCAAATGATAAAAAAAAGAAAGAAGGGTGAAAAGTCTTTCCGATATGATAATCAAGTTGGCTGTTATGATACACATTTTTAAATATTTATAATGAGATAAGATGTAATGAGGCAAAAAGCACTATGATGTCATAGCTGCTCCCAGAAAATGATGAATGAGCATTTTACATCACTCCATACATTTGCAGCATTTAATTGCTACGTCACCTGTTAGGATCTGATGAAATGCATGCCTACCTTTCCTGATCCCTCCATCAGAAGCACATGTGTAATCACCTGCCGTCAGCAGGAAACACGTCTCCCCTCTTCTGCTTTTGTCTCTGGTGCTAGAGCGCCTGATGGGGAGCCTTTCTGGGGGCGATAACGGTGGCTCACTTCCCGCACTGTCGTCACCTGCTAACACTGGTCACAGCACCACGCCCATTGACAGACAGTGATGATGAGGGAACGAGACAATACAAAGAGTTTACGCCCAGTGTCCAAAGTACAGTCACTCGATAATACAAAACACAATCATCACAACATGATAAGAAAAGAATTTTCATCACTCGTCACAAAAACTTACATGGAGCAAAATGGAAATGTATTGAAAAGGAGAGATGTTCTCAGGGAAATTTTAACTTCATGTTGAATTTTATCTAATATGACAACAACTTTTACAAAACTAATATGATTCAAAGTAAGTGTGATAATGAAGTAGCACACGAATTAGTATCTTTCCACTTTTGACAGGTTATCTAGATACTGCAAATAGACATCTTTAAAAATGGAGCCTACTGACGGAAAAAGTCCTAAGTAAATATTTGTCTTTGTAGTGCTAAAAGACGTATGCTTTCATTGTTTTCTGGAAGTAATGTTTCCCAAAATTCATAATGAAAACAATCCCAAAGTTTACAAACTTTGTGTCCAGGTTCTGTTTTGAGCATAACAATGGAACAAGTCAACTTCTCCAAACGCCCTTGAAACGTTTATGTCTAAATACTTGCCAAAGACTTTCACATCCTATCGCCTAGATGCTAGCTCATAACAGTGCTTGCCCAAGCTGAGTGTGTCCGCCTTTCCATGCCCTTCAGAAAAGCTCCGCACAAGCAGAGAACAGTCTAACAAGGGCAGCAACACAAACTACATTCCATCTTTCCTAAGGACATTCCTGGCATAGCAATTCTCAGATACACACTGACAGAATTTGCAAAACAGTCTGCTAAATAAACACAAGGGCTCTGAATAAAATCTTTTAAAAAGCAGTTCAGTTCCAGTCAGGTTTTATTTTTTTTTTCCCCCCAATTTAACCCATAATAGCTTTTGGGAGCTAAGGAGACAACCTGTGAAAATGTCACTTGCTTTTCCCATTTGTCTGCTAGTTTGCTTGGTTTGTTTAATTAGTGTTATTTCTAAATAATGCTAAATTATTCACATGGGATTTTCATAAATCATTTTTCTACAAGAAAAAGATTAAATCTATTTAAGTTATAGGGAATGCATATATCTTAACATTTCATAGATGACAAAAAATTAGTTAAATTGTGAGATCTACAAAATATTTCATCTTTACTAGACATAACAGACTAGAGAAGACACTACTGACTATCACTTTGGCAAACTGAATTTACAGTCAATTAACTCTAGATTATCTATGGCAACAAAGACAAGCAGGAATTCTGCTAATTTCAAGCAGGAAGTTATCCAAAATTCCATTCTGGGAGGGAAAAGAGCCCAGTGCAGAATGCATTTAAAAAGGCAATCCGCAGAGAAATTCAACCTTCCTAGTGATTAGCCAAAGCAGATCATCTAGACCCTGCATAATGTTGGGCTGATTGTACTACACAGCACTTTACCCAAAGCAAAGGAATTATATTGAAATACCCTAATTTAAGAATAATGAAAACTTAACCAACACTCCCCAATATTACTGAAGGAACACCTTTACTTTCCAAAGGGCATTCTTACATATCACCTCTTCAGTGTTTAGGCCTTTGAAATGTAAACATCCATTCTTTTTACATAACTTCTTCTTGTGAATTAGGTCAAAATGCATGGCCCCATGTGGCAGAGATAAAACTGAGAAAAACACACCAAGCCAAATGACATGGAGATCAACATTTTGAGAATGAAGGATGGAAAATGTCCAATATCATACCACCACATCGTGCAGGGAAACAAAGGAACATCAGCACGAAAGCAACAAACAGGCAAAAGAAAATATTGGCGCCGTCAGCACAGGGCATTCCCGTCAAAGCAGGAGAACTCTATAGACCAGCTATGCGGACTTCTACTGAGGATTCATTTAGAAAAGCTACAGTCTAGCTATCTACAAGCCTGACACAGACACATTTGCAAAGGGGTGGAACCGAAAACTCCGAACATCTGCAGAAAATGAGAAGGTGCCTTCTACCTAAGGGACATACTGGTCTATAAAGTATTTAACGGCATGCATTTGAACCCATGCCTTACCTGATCTGTTATGTTCCAGAAGCCGACTGTCTTTGCCCAGACACGTGTCACCCTGCTTGCTATTGCAGGCCACGTTTAATTCTGTCTTGCAAAAAGTAGGCGAGTTTGCCTGAGGAGCAGGAGGGATGTGCTTCTTTCTTTTCCGTGGAAGCTTCTGCTTTGCCATCGCCAAGGAGTAGTACATTCCGAAGTTGTTGACAATGACAGGCACCGGCATGGCTATGGTCAGCACTCCAGCCAGAGCGCACAGGGCTCCCACCAGCATCCCCGACCACGTCTGGGGGTACATGTCTCCATAGCCCAAGGTAGTCATGGTTACTACAGCCCACCAGAACCCAATAGGGATGTTTTTGAACTGCGTGTGCTCGCTAGCTGAAGGGTCGTTGGGCTGGGCGCCCACTCTCTCCGCATAGTAGATCATAGTAGCAAATATCAAAACTCCTAGAGCCAGGAAGATTATCAGCAGCAGAAATTCATTTGTGCTCGCTCGAAGAGTGTGTCCAAGCACCCTCAAGCCTACAAAATGGCGGGTGAGCTTGAAGATCCTGAGGATCCTCACAAATCTGACCACTCTGAGGAAGCCAAGTACATCTTTAGCAGCTTTAGATGAGAGCCCGCTGAGTCCCACCTCTAAGTAGAAGGGCAGGATGGCCACGAAGTCAATGATATTCAAGAGGTTTTTGATGAATTCAAGTTTATTGGGGGAAAAAACAATACGGACTAAAAATTCAAAAGTAAACCATACCACGCATACTCCTTCTACATACGTCAAGGCAGGGTCTGTTTCAATTTCATAATGTGGGACCACACTGGTGCCATTGCTGACTGATTCTGTCTTGTTTTTAACAATATTGAAAGCTTCATGTGTCTCCAGGCAAAAGGTTGTGATTGAAACCAGGATGAAGAATAAAGAAGCAAAAGCAATAAACTGTAGAGAAAAAAAAAAGAAATAAAAGAAGAAATATAGAATGATCTGAACCATAATATACTTCGATCCAAGTTTAAAAGCACTGATCCCTGTAGATGAAGAAGTATAAATACATATTTGGAGATTTAACTCAGGATGTTACTCAACTGTAAGAACTTAAACATGTAGGTAATATCCATTAGAGTTGCACGGGAAGGATGTTTCAAGTTCTTCTTTCAGCTTATATAGATTAAAAGTTCTGATTTATGTTGGAAAACAATTTGAGTCTTCTGTGTAAGAAAAAGAGCAAAAAATAAAAACCTTGCCAAAGAATGTTACAGGGCAGCAGGCTGAAAAAAAGCAAATGTAGACAATGGCTCCAGATATTGGTTATGATTCTAGAAATCTTCATGTATTAGGTCCAGATTTACAACCATAAATATAAAGTGCAGTCTACACTGATGGAAATTTGGAAGCCACCCATATTTAACTGCAGGCTTCTTCTCAAATGTTCAGATTATCATGACATATGAACATGAAAGAAGTGTTTAGGCTGTGCTACCATTTAAATTATATCAACTAAAGGTGAAGTCCAAAAAGAGCAAACCTAGGGAAGAAGAGCTGGCATTAAGACTGAAGAGAGAGAAGGAATTAAGGAACAGATTAAAAGGCATCCTTCCTCTCCTGAGAAAGAACTTCAAACGTTAGAATAATATGTGATAAAACTATAAAACATATGTTATAAAGGTTTTTTTAAAATTCAACATTTCTTTGGCCAATAATACATGAATATACACACACCTACTAATACAAAACAATAATAAAAGCTCTCACTTATATAGTTCTTACTAATACCAAACACTCTTCAAAGCAATTTACATAATTAGCTCATATCAATACTCACAACGACACTACACTGTCACCTTTTATGGTCACAGAGTTTGTAACTTTTCCAAAGTCATAAGATTTAACTTGATAAGTTTTGCCCCAGATTCTGTTCCCATAACTACCAAACTCTCAAACGTAGAATACAAATATGTTGAAGCCTTTATTTATTTTAGGATCAAATTCTTCTTAATATGAAAGATCTGAAAATCTGAAACCCAGTGTCATGTGAAGCCCATGACACTGTTGCCAGCTGTCAGCAATGGAGGCTTTCAGAGAAGCTGGCAGATTCCCAGTGCTCTCTGAGTGAGCTCAGATTGAGCCTGCTCACTGAGCATCAATAGACTACCAAGAGTCCTTGAATATCTAAACAAATGAATTATTCAGGAGGAAGAGGTCATCAGTCAAATAGAGGGAGATGCTTTTTAGAAATAGTATGACATATCCCAAACCCAAAGCTCTTCCCTAATACCTGCTCCTCAACTGAACATTGAAAAGATCTAAGTTTCAAGAAGGAAATGGCAACCCACTCCAGTATTCTTGCCTGGAAAATCCCATGGACAGAGGAGCCTGGTGGGCTAAAGTCTATGGGGTCGCACAGAGTCAGACATGACTGAGCGACTCCACCTTCACCTTCAAGTTTCAAGAAGAGATTGAAATCATCTCCCTTTTTCCCTGGTTGAGTTTCAATGCAAGAGATACACAGATCTTGCCAAGTACATGAGATACACAAAAAGACTGAAAAAAAAAAAAAAAGGACTGAGATTATCTGCTATAAAGAAACTTCTCAAGGTGGGGGGGGAAGATAGGGGTAAAGGATTAAGAGGTACAAACTATTGTGGATAAAATAAGTTATAAAGGATATATAGTACAACTTAGGAAATACTATCCAATAGCTTTAAAAACTATAAATTGAATACAACTTTTTGAAAGTTGTAAATCACTATGCTGTAGATCTGAAACATATAATATTGTACATCAACTATACCTCAACTAAAAAGGAAAAGAAAATGAAAGTGAAGTTGCTCATTCGTGTCCCACTCTTTGCAATCCCATGGATTGTAGCCTACCAGGCTCCTCCATCCATGTGATTTTCCAGGCAAGAATACTGGAGCAGGTTGCCATTTCCTTCTCCAAAAAAGGAAAGAACCACCCCAAATTATGGACTAGTTTCTCTGCAGTGTGCTAGTAAAGTACATCACTCATATTAATACTGTAAGTCATGCAAATCAAGGCTTTGACTTATTTTTCCATTCCTATCTTCCAACTTCCCTTGGTTTTGACATTACAATTTGACTATGATCTTTTCCAGATATATTGTGAGATGATGGCATTTTTTTTCACTCAGCTTTTCCTTCATACAAATATACACTTTTCTTTTTAAGTCAAGTACTTGTTCTAACACTTAATATCACAAGGACATCACAGATTCTTTAAAATATTACATCTTATAATATTTGATGTAACTACCTTTGATTTGTGCATTACCTCTTTATCTGATCACAATTTTATCTACAGGTTTGAGAGTCACGCTTATTTCTGACTCCCCCCACACTCTTCTTTTGCATGAGAGCCTTTGCACTGTGACATACTGACTCCTCCATAGCCACTCCCCACACATTCCACCACGGTATCCAGAATTTTCGGCTAAGCATCTAAAGTTTCAGTGGGCAAACTCTATCTATGAGACAGAGTACAAAGCAATTAAAGCAAGCTGCAATTTTATCTTTGATTCCAGTGTTTCTGAGTCAGCATTTTTTCTGGCTAGTTTTCAGTCTCAATGCTGTCCACCTATACTCTGTAGTGGATAGAGTAGGACCTTCAGCGTTGCTCATTCAAAATTAGCCCTGACTTACCACCTCTCATACAACAAAGACAGTTTCCAAGTATACTCTTATGCTCATCAATGTAAAGTGCTAAAATCTTTTCCAGTCAGATATTTTCCTACACTTCATTCATTAATTCAAGAAGTATGTTGAGTGCCTCTGTATGCCAGGCCACAGGGGTAGGGTCTAACTTTGACAGTAGTAAACAAAACACAATCCTATCCTTGGAGGAACTCACAATCCAATAGGTATACAGACATTAAATATTTAACTACACAAAATTACACAATTGCAATTATAATAAATTCAATGAAAGGAAAAATAACCTAAAGCTTATTTAAACTGAGAGGTTATAGAAACCTCTGAGAAAATATCAATAGACTGGACTTTGAAGGATAAGCGGAGGTCAACCTGATAGAAAGGAGAGGTGTGTATCACACAAGAGAGAAGTTTTAACAAAAAAGTCTGGAATTTCTTAAGTGATGCCTTGAAGGGAACACAAAATGAAGAGAGGATTTTCCAGGTTTGCCTCTTTTACATGAATTGTGATGAATAAATTCCAAATTAGCACAGAGATCCTCACTTTCCAAAGGTTTTAAATCAACAAAAAATATTACCTGTATTTGATTTAAAATGAGACTGTAAGGTGACTTTTGAGGTTTGAGTGCTGGTAGAGTCCCTTTGGACTTTCTATATTGGGAGACCTATAGAATTCACTTGTCTTAAATTATCGCACCAGCCCCATTGACCGGGATAAAGTGAAAATAAAAGATATGTGTATATATATATATATATTTATTAAGATGGCTTCTAATTTAAAGCACTATGAAAATATTTGAAATCATCATTACCTTAATAAGGATTACTGGAACTTACTATTTATGTTCATTAAATGAGTTATGTTACCAGGAAAAGGTCAAAAAAGCCTTAAGATACAGTGGTATACCTAGGTGGCTAGGATTTAAGTAACATGAACCATTTTGTACTAGGACATTATTTAAATACCGCACTCATATTTCCAAAAATGTGCTCACATTCATTATAACACACCTGGGCAGCTTACCTAAATGTGAATTTCTTAGCCCTACATCAGATGTCAGATTCTACTGTTTGGGGAGATGAAATTTGCACCCTATAGGCTTTCTAGGTGATTGCTATGCATAGTATAGTTTGAAACCTCTGTTTCTGTGGTTTTTCAACAGACTGATAATACAAGATTGATAATTGATTATTAAATGAATTGGAGTAGTTTTTAAATTCTAAGCATTTGTAGTCTTCCAAAACCTTAATAAGAATAGCTAACTACCTCCTATGTAACTACTTCCTATGTAACCTCCTATGTTTATGGCCCAAGTGTGTTTATGTGTGTTTGTGTTAAGACATAATTCTGGCTTCTACACAAATAACTGAGTAAGCAAAGCAACCAAACAGTTTCTAAATATACACAATTCTAAGACACAAAACTTTAGAAACCAAAAGTTGTCTTTTATGCCATTTGGATCTTTCAATCAAACATTTTATTAGAACTATTTAAAGAACCACATGATGATTTTTGCATTTGTATTATTCTACATTGTAGTCTTTATAACTCAATATGTCTTTAGCTTTTAAGGACTTTGTAAATCTGCTGGTGTGGTAATATTATAATAGGAAAATACAGAGAGTATGACAAATAGAAATAAACTTCAATATCCTTAGAAATATACAAGATTCATCTGTATAAAATAATAGATGGTTATCTTGTTTAAAAAACAGCTAGATAGGCCATTAATAAAGGCTAAGGACACTTGGTAGGGTCAAGAATAAGAAAGCTGTAACTGAAAGCCAAAGTTTACTTCACTATTACATGGTAGGGAATTGGAAGTTGGCTTCTGTTATCCTGCAAGTGAGGATGTTGGAAGAAAGTTTAATTCTAACAAGAAGGAAATGGAAAAGGTCTCTAAAGACAAGGAGGAAAAGTCCATAATGCGAGGACAAACAATTAGAAATGCCCCCACAGATATCAATCAGTAAAGAATCTGCCTGCATTGCAGGAGACCCAGGTTCGATCCCTGGGTTTGGAAGATCCCCTGGAGAAGGAAATGGCAACCCACTCCAGTATTCTTGCCTGGAGAATCCCATGGACAGAGAAGCCTGACGGGCTGCAGCTATGGGGTCGCAAGAGTTGGACAGTTTAGCGACTAAACCACCACCACCACCACAGATATGGGAAAAGAATCTAGGGAGGCTAACGGAGAATATTAAATCCTAAGATACCGCTTGCTTTCTGATGCCTCAATAAAAGGTGGTTTTACAAACAGCCTGGTGTTG